GTTTTTTTGTCCATCTAGTGTCATACCTTCCCCTGTAGCAGCTTCATGTCTCCCTTCCTTCCAGGTCCTTCTTCGCTTTGGCTCCCTCGAGTCCTCCCCTCCTCTGGACTAACTAAGTTCCCTTCCTTTATAGAGCTAGTTTCAGTGTGTGTAGGGTCCTTCCAGTCCTGCCTATTAGTATCCTGTCCATCTAACATCCCCACCTCAGTACTGGAGAACCCTTACACCAACCACTTTGTACCCCCTGTTGGACTGGTCTTCATCCCGGTCCCCGCCCTAAGGTCCACTCCATAGTTTTTAGGCTTAAATATGTCTTTAGTCCCTGCAAATATGACATACTTTGTTTTAGGTCCCTGCAAAAATAATTTTTTGTTTTACATCCTTGTAATATGCACTATTTTGTTTTTAGTCCATGTGTAACTCCGAAATCACTCTACTCAGAATAAAAGTTATTGTCGATTGCATAAATCTACTAGAAACATTTAAATTTATCCTTTTATACCATTTTTAGGCTAATATGAGAGTTAAAACAATGCAAAACTAATTATTCACATTTTAAAATTTTGTATTAAATACCTTCGAAAAAATAAAATTAAATACTTTTTGAATAAAACGATGAAGAATTAGAGGAAACTTATAAGTCGGTGTTATTTCGAGGTCAAACGGAGGTTGTTATCATCACTGATGGACTAAAAAGAAAACCAACATAAATGTTAGGGATGAAAAACAAAAAACTAATTTTGCGGGGACGTAAAACAAAATGTGCTATAATTGCAGGGAGTAGTAACATATTTAAACCTACTTTTTATCAAAAGTGATATTCTCTCCTTCATAAACTACCAGGCAAAACTTATCCGAATGCCCAATAATACCACAAACAAAACAAAAATTTGGGAGTTTCTCATATTTGAAGTCCACCCATTGACTAAAACTCACCTTTTTCAACATAGTACCTTTTTTCAAGGGTCTCCTAACATTCATACGAACCCTAATTCTCAAATATGATTTCCAATTTTCATCAGATTTTTTATCATCAAAGCTAATAAATTTTCAAATATAATTACCAATACGTCTAGCAGACCCCAAATTCATAAAGCCATAAGCAGCATTGTGCACTCGCACCCAAAAATCAGCCTCATAAAGTTTGATTTACAAAGGAATATCCTCTGCCTGAATCTCTTTTAACAGCAATAAATACTGTTTAAATAACCATGGTCCTTCATCTAGAACACGCCTCATATCTAATATGTGATAAAAGGTAAAGAGATACCTTTTTCGCCGATTTCCATGATTGAAACACCTTTGACCGGTCTCCACAGCGAGGCCATCAATTCTTTGAAAAACTTAAATTTGATTTTACGATATGTCATAATGAGGCCTACCACTAGAAAAATTGCCGAGCTCTTGCTTGATTCCTCCTCCTCTTCTTCCTCATCGAAAATTACCTCCTCCATATCAGCCCCAATAACCATTCGTTTATACTGATGAACTACGTCTTCCATCGAAATCTTCTTCCCTGTTATCGCCGGACCCCACGACCAGCAACAAATGCCGAAGTAACAGCAGCCACTCGCTCAACTCCACCGAAGAACGGAAGCGAACTTCCGTTGATGAAGCTCGCTGAGAAAACCAAAGCGTCCGTCCTTCGAATAGTCGAAGACGGTGGCGAGCTCTAGCGACTTCGGTGCCTTAGAGAGAGAATTTCATTTTCAATACTCTGTATATTATCAAGCCTTTTTAAAAGGCTTTAAAAAGTCCAAGTAATAAAGTAAAAGGAAATCTTTTAAAATAGGAGTAAAAATGTTTTGAAATTATCATTGTTATATTTTTATTTCCTATATAAAGTAATCAGGGTTATAAAATATGGTCATATTTAAAATTCTGGTAATGCTAAGAGCCCGCTTGATAATAATAAAAATCAGTTGAGTCCGCTATTTCTGCTCAAATTTATGAAGTTTGGACTAGATTGACTGATTTTGCTGATTTATGCAAAACATATACCAAAAATATATTTTATTAGTAAAATAAAGAAAAAATTATAAGAAAAAACTAAAATGGTCATCTATAGTAACATCAGCCAATATAGTCATAAAATTAACTATAATCTTACTTTTTTTTATACAATTCAGTGCGTGAAATTGAAAGTTACGTGTTTGGTGAAAAAGTTACTCAATAAACGAGATTAGTCGAAAAAAATAGTACCAAACAAATAGTTACTTCGGCAACGTCATTGATGATCAAATTCAAATAATTTGTATTTGGTTATACCTAAATCAGAAAGAAATTATCATTTACTTAAATGTTGATACCTTCCCCAGACAATTACGTAGTCATTGGTAAAAGTGAACACTCACGCAACGTTTATTTTTTCTCTTAATGTTCGTTTTTTCAAAATAAAATCATTTATGTTGTAGGGAGAATTGTTCGTAGAATTTCATTACCGAATGCCCCTATAAATAGGGATAGAGTAGGGTTTACAAGTACGGGCCAATAGGCCCAGATTACATAGTTTACATTGAAATGACCCTAATACATATTCTATATAAACGATAGCACACTACATAGAATTTCCTTCAACACTCCCCCTTGTGCTGAGTTGAATAGAATTTGGTATCTGTGTTGTTGTCTCGTCAAAACCTCTGTCAAGTAACAAAAACCCTGTGGGAAAAAATAACCTTGACTGGAAAAAAGAGTATAGCATCACGATAGACTTCTTCCATTAAGTCTGTGTTTATTTGATCCTTGCTTTGATCAATAAAGCGTATATGTATTGTTACCTCATTAAAAACCTTACCAAGTAACAAAACCCGATGGGAAAAATAAAATTTGGTTATAGGAAAAGAGTGTAACTTAATGTAGATGGGGAACTCCCCCTCAAGTCTACACATATCCTTAATAGTTACATTAATCAAGGATGTTTGGAAAGTTCATGCATTCCAATACTTGTCACATTTCTTACCTTAGCGAAGGCACACAAATAGAGGAATATAATTCCTTTAGTTCTCCCCCTGTGTGCCGAGTGTAAGGTGATTAATGTAAAAATTATTAACTTGTTAAATCTGTTGCCAATGAACAAAACCCAATGAGAAAAATAAACATCGGTCAAAGGAAAAATATGATGCACTAATAAGCACGCGTCAATTACTTTTGACTGCGATATATTAATTATGTTCTTCCTTCAACATAGTTTTACCTTTGCAAAATTAAAGTGTGGGATGGTGCATATTGTGTTGGCTAAAAAAAAAACTTTACCAAGTAACAAAACCCGATGGGAAAAAATAAACATTGGTCGAAGGAAAAAGAGTACAACGCACCATTAATTGATGATAAATAAGTGTGTAAGTACTCCTCCTGAGTGCAACACACATCAATAAGAATCTAACATTTACTTGATATATACTTTTATCAAGGTATTCTGTATATAACATCATGGTCTCTTTCATGATAAATATATATTCAATAAAATATCAATGAGGTAAGGGGATACCCATCATCAGTAAAACTCAAATCACGTTACTTTGTGTTAGAGTAATACTTTTGATATTTTCAATTCCTTTAGAAATATTGTTATCATCAATCATTTAATTCAATTTATAAGGGATGAATAACGATTACTCCAATGGTTTCATATAGATATCAAGGCACATTCTTGATACCATTTCAATGACGATATACGATGTGTTGGTCCTGAGCTATTTTTAGCTAACACGTTATTGAGAATGTAATATTTGGTCGAATGTGTTGGTCAAAGTACAATCATGCGCATATTGCACTTACATAGGGAACTTTTCTAGTATCCATATTTCGACCAATCATGGGAGTGCTAACAGTTTACATTTATCCATGTCAATTTTGCCTGAGAACCCTTTTGGATATATGCAACTGGTGAATTAGTATTCAACCAACTCGGTGTTTAATTTCAAAACAGAACCAAGTTTCCCAAGATCTTTTATCTCAATTATGATTTTCAAGTATCTAACATGTCTCATGTTCCATTATGAGTACATATTATGTCTATATCATGGAGATACAGTGATATTTGGAAACAAAACTTATTTCCATTATAAATGCGCTAGGCATAATATATTCATTTTGCATCCCTTTTCAGTCAAGTGGTCACTTAGACGGGTATGTCACTCCCGTCTGGATTGATTTAATCCAAATGCGAATGTATATAATGTTATTAAAAACCACTTGATAAAAACATAAGTGCTTCATAAAAACATAATTGCTCTTAAGTAAGTTTTATAGGTGAAAATAAAAACTAGTTTCGATTAGTAAATGGATGCATCACATTATTTTTAAAACAAAAACATGATAAATTGATAACCCTATGATAATATGTAGAACTTTTCACGGAGTTGCTAAAATAGTTAATATGAATCCCAGATTAAAAAAGAAAGTGACAATATTTAATATTTTTTAAAGAAATAATTACATATTTATGACTAAAATGAAGATTATTTACAAAAATGTGATTAATGACTAAAATAGTAATAAAATTATAGTAACTTATGTTCAATATTTAAATTTAAGTTACCATAACACTACATTTATAGTAACTAATATGTAGTCCGTAGTAACTAATAGTCATATTTATATAAATAAATTGATAACGCTATGATAATATGTAGAACTTTTCACGGAGTTGCTAAAATAGTTAAAAGGAGAAAGTGACGGTATTTAATATTTTTTAAAACAAAAAAATAATAAAATTATAAAAGATAAGTGAATATTTAAGAGATGGAGGTGTCTTCCGTTTGCAGGAATAGAGGAATAATAAATACCAATTAATTACTGGAAAAATTAAATTTTGGTAATAAAAAAAGAAAGCTGTAAAATTAAAAAGGAAGCAGTAATATTCAAACTTAAGTATACCTTTTCTACCAATTTTGATGGAATCAAAGTAACTTTATCAAGACTTTACATGCTGAAATTGACCACTCCATAGGTAAATAAAGTCCCTTCACTGTATAACTTTTTTACCGTCTATTAGATGCCTCCAACCTGTGTTCCACTCCAATTAATGGTTTGGCTCTGTGGGCTCTGATCTTCTCAGCGGTCACCCATTCTAATCATAGGAGGCTCCCAAAGAACTCCGCCGCCTCGACGCCCTAGCCGCCGCCAACACTCCACCGCCGTAATGGAACATATTCCTTTTCCCCTCTCTGCTCCTCTACTTTTACAACTTACTCTGCTTTTCTCAGGTATATACTCTGTTTCTATGACATCGTTTTTCTTTATATTATTACATAATAATGGGAATTCATTCAATTATATTCTGTAGTGATATTCTGCCCGGCGAGGGTGATTTGCATTGGAGTCAACTACGGGCAGATTGCGAACAACCTGCCGGCGCCGGAAAATGCAGTTCAGCTAGTAAAGTGCATCGGAGCAACAAAAGTCAAGCTTTACGATGCAGATCCGAAAGTGCTCACAGCTTTTGCCCACACTTCCGTGGAGCTGATAGTCAGCATCGGCAATGAACACCTGCCGGAGATGTCGGACTGTGATAAAGCCAGAGCCTGGGTGTTGCAAAATGTGAGCCCATATCTGCCGGCGACAAAAATTACCAGTATCATAGTCGGAAACGAAGCTCTAACCACCGGCAACGCCAGTCTCCTCTTTCCGGCAATGAAGAACGTTTACGACGCGCTCTTAAAACTGAATCTCCAAAACCAGATCCAAGTCACCACCGCCCACTCCCTCGCCGTGCTGGATGCGTCGTACCCGCCGTCGGCCGGGACGTTCAAGTCAAACCTAACCCACTACATTTGCGAAATCCTCGAATTCAGTAATATAACCGGGGCTCCGGTTCTCATCAACGCCTACCCGTATTTCGCTTACCAGGCCGACCCGGCAAATGTGCGGCTCGAATACGCGCTGTTCCAGCCGAATCCAGGGACGAACGACGCCGGCAACAGAAATGTCCACTACGACAACCTCCTCTTTGCCCAGATTGACGCCGTCTACGCGGCGGCGGCGAAAATGGGGTACCCTAACGTGTGCGTGCAGGTGTCGGAGACGGGTTGGCCGTCGAAGGGGGGCCCCACCGAGGCAGCCGCGACGAAGCAGAACGCCATGACCTACAATCGGAACCTCCTGAATCTCGCTGCAAACAGGGGTAGGACTCCATTGAGTCCGGGGAGGTGTAATTTGGAAGTTTCCGTGTTTGCGTTGTTCAATGAGAACCAGAAGCCCGGCCCGCTCTCGGAGCAGAACTACGGACTATTCAACGCCGACGGATCGCCGGCGTATCAGATTGGATCTTCCGCCTGCGGAAACACGAATAGGTCAATCGGTTCTGGACCTGTCTCTGGTATTTATCCGCCGACGACTTTATCTCCGATGGCAGGGAGCCCCGGGAACGTCTATATACCGATTTCTTCCGACGCGGTGAGTAATAATAATAATAATCCCATGAATTTACTAGATTTTGTTTCTTAATTTATTAGTTCATTCACATTTTATGGGTCTCTTTCATTTTTAAAGCAGAATCAAAATCAGTCTCTTTTAATTTCTAAAAGACTAGAAATTTTGCTAATAGGTCTAACTTGACTAACTACAACAATAAAGTTATATAGGGAGTATTATAAATAATTGGGAAAATGGAAACTAATAATCCAACCTTTCAGCAGTCTTCTTACAATAGTCTCACCTTTTCATTTTTCAAGAATAATCCAACCTTTGCACCTCATCTTCATTCGTTGGTCCCTGACCGGTTAGTGACCTGCTATTTCAAGTTATTTTCTTATCTTTGCAAAATATTATCTTTGTGAAAGGTGAGATTTATGATATAATGGTTTGCAAAGATAAGAAAAATAACTTGGAATAACATGTCATCAACCGGTCAGGGACCAATGAATGAAAATGAGGTGCAAAGGTTGGATTATTCATGAATAACGAAAAAGTGGGACTATTGTAAGAAGACCGCTGAAAGATTGGATTATTAGTTTCCATTTTCCCTAAATAATTGACATAAAATTAATTTAGGAGACTAAATCATCATGTAGCATTAACAAATTGTTTAAAATATGATTAAAATATGAATAAAATTCTAAAATAGGATTAAATATGTTTTTTGAAAAACAGAAATTATTTACCCCTATTAAACGAGTTAAACAATAAAAATTTCTGGAAATAGGAGTGAATAACTCTTGTTTTGGACTTCAGGAAGAAAATAATACTCCGTAACACCAGGCCCGGTCCTGAGATTTTATGGGCCCGGGGCAGTATAAATAGAGTAGGTCTTAGAAATAACGTGTAAATGTTTATACATTTCGTAAAAACCAAGTAAAATTAAGCAATTTTGCTATCTAAATACAAGTATAACACATCAAAGAAATTAATAAATGAGACGGTTAGAAAAATTATATTTAAATATTTGATAAGTGACATTCGAGAATACTATGTACCTAAATCGGTCAAATGGAAAAGTAGTACAATTATTACTTGCTATAAAGAATTTTGAATTTGGGAAATATGTGAAAGTTATATCTCATATGAAGTAACACTTTCATATTTCAAATTACTAGGGGTGTCCCGGATTCGGATTCTGGAGGATTTTAATGGAGTTTAGAATTCTGTCAGAATCCAGGTGTCCCCGATTAGGATTTCTGTGGAGTCCATGAAAATAAGGGTGTCCTCAAACATTCCATGGATTTCTATTGTTACTAATTTGGATGGATTTTAATGGATTTTGATGGAATTTTACATACAAAAACAATCCACCACAATCTTGTAGATTCCCCTCGGATTTCAAAATCCATGGTCATTTAAAATCCATCAAACTCATAATCCACGACACCCCTCTACATTCTCACTAGACTAAAACAAACTGCAAATTTATAAATTCTTTTGATCACTTACATGAGAGAATCAAAGAAAATTATTAGAGCATTTCTAATGCTACAATGTGCACGATGCACATGTGGCATGAGAGACAACCACATAAATATTACGTTGTACCAAATAAACTATCTACCTATCTCCTTATTGGAATGATCTTATACAAATTTGGTAAGTTTTTTTCTGCAATGTCTGCCACAATGTCAACATCTAGATGGTTTTCTTGACATTGTGGAGAAAACTTACTAAAATTGTATAAAATCATTCAAATAAGGAGAGAGATAATTTATTTCCTAATATTTATGTGGTTATCTCTCATGACACATGTGCACCGTGCACATTGTAGTATTGGAGATGCTCTTAAAATATTATCAATAGATCATGAGTTTGCATGAGGGAAGTAGATGAAAAGATGAACATTTATGTGCTAACTTTTAATGAATCAAAAGAAATGGTGAAGTTTGTTTCCAATGAATTCCAGTGTGGATGTTTAGTTTTTAAATTTTTATAGATATATAATGTATATTATCGTATATTATTAAATAATGTACTACGTATATATACAACAGGGAAACTTATGGGCCCTGGGCGCATGCCCCGTTGCCCATGCCCCAGGACCGGCCCTGCGTAACACTCTTATTTGAGAATTTTTTCCTATTTAGAAACTTTCTCCCAAGTATTCAAGTAATTCAACCGTCCTACGTCTAAGAAAATTTTGTTTGGACTAGTTTGTCCTATAGATTATACGTAGTACTCCGTATCAAATTAAATTTACCAAACTTTTTTTTTACAGCAATTAAATTGACCAAACTTAAACAATATTAAAGTAGACGTAATATCAAACTTTATAAGACCAGAATAAATCATTTTAGTCCAAGTGAAAATAATTTTAGTACACCGGCTCTACCATATTCATTGGTGCGTTATAAAAGTAAATATTATTCAAATGAATTTTTATTTTAAAAATTACACATTAATTAGTTGAAGAGCATTACAAAAAAATCTCTATCCCTATTAAAATTGAACATTAAAATAAAAAAATGAATTGACTGCTTAAAATGATATAAAATTGCTTGGTAACAATAGAATTGAGTGAATAAAACGAACATATAAAAATTGTGACTGAAACAACCAATTTAGTTGAATGTGTTAAACCCGAAAAGAATTATGTTAGATATGGAGTATAATTTATTTATAAAACCAATCGTCACATTAGGTTAGATCCATCAAGTGCTATTGAATTTTTTTACATATATTATTTTTAATCTTAAATGTGATACGTAGTATTTCACATGTTTTTTGTATCATTCACTGCTAATTTTGTTTCATAAGTGATTGGAGTAACTTTAATATTATCCAAACTTTATTACGCAGATATTTTAACTTATATTATATGTTCTAGAATTTGTGAGGCGATAGTCGAGCAGTTGAGGGATGTCTAGCTCTTAGACACCGATTAAGTGCTGATTAAGATGATTAAGTCAATTTTTTGATCGACTAAGATGATTAGTCCTCCACAGTTAGAGAGAGCATAGCGCCTAGGCGATGATTAACTGAACCGATTAGGCTGATTTTTAAAACAATACTTATGATCCAATATGGGGCTTTTGTAACATCGGTGTTTTTGGTTGATTTCAGGTGAGATCGCATTTATGCATGAAGCGGTTTGGATTTGTTTTAATCGTGGCCTTCCTATGTCACATAGCACTAAACAAAATGTAGCAGTATAGGAATGTTGAATTGGCACTAGAACTCTCTCAGTCTCTCGCTCTCTCTATATCTTGTTGCACGTGTTTTGTGCCTTACAGCAAGCCAGCCCTTAACACGGGGCTTCAATTCATGTGCATATATTCGTTTTCTATTTGTTGCCATATCAGTATTTTGTTGCGGAGTGTGTATGATTTAGTGGTTTACTACTTACACTAGTCTTGCATACTTTCTTGTACTTTTATGTACTAATAAAAATAAAATAAAAATCATATGATCAAAGTGTTATATTATTCTGCGATGGAACTAGGGGTGGACCTGATCTGGCCCGGTTCGGAACTGGGTTCGGTACTATGTGGGACCGGAGTCGCCGGACTGAGTTCGTGATTTTGTACTCGGTTTACAGCCCGGGTAACCGGCAATACCGGTCCCGGTTCCAATATTTGGGGTCGAACCGGATGGTTCTGGTCACGGTCTGGTCCTTGACCGCCGATTTTTAATTTTTTTAAGCTTGAAACCTATTAAAAAAATTGGTTCTGGACTGGACCGCCCGGGTACCTGAATCTGGTCCAGACCTAGAATATAACGGTTTGGGCCTAGTCTTCTTGTTTTTTTAGGATTGGGTAGTCTCGGCCTGAATTGAGACCGGACCGACCCTGATCTACCCCTAGATGGAATGCACATCCGAAAGAAGTTTGATCTTATTATCAAAATGTCATCGCGCAATTCCAGCCTTTAGATCAATTCAACAGATGATCAAGATGAATTTCTAGTTTGCAAATTAGGAGAACTTTGTATTTGATCCTTTATTCACACACACACATTCATGTTAATGGGCACAAACCAACAAATTAAGAGCTCGTTTGATAACTTTGAAATTGACTGAATTGGCTGATTGTGTTGAAATTTATAAAATACTTGTTGAAGTGGTTGAATCTACTTAACTATAGTAAAATTATACTACTGATATAAAATAAATTTTATTATTAAAACAAACAAAAAATATATGAAAAACTAGAATATTTTTCTACCGTAACTTCAATCAATTTAACTTATAAATGACACTCTTAATCACTTATTTTGATTATTACATAATTTAGCATGCAAAATCAAAATTGTATACTCGTGTTTGATTACTGATAAAGTTAAAAATATGGTTACCTAACTTTCCCTAACTATCATTATCATTTGTTAATTCTGCATGATCACGTGATTGGAATGCAAGTCACGGCTAGTCATGGACCCGGGCCGGGCCGGTTCCGGTTCCGGGCCGGGCCCGGCCGGGCTTTTTTTTTTGGGAAGGCCGGCCCGGGTAGCCACCGGGTCCGGGCCGGGCCGGGCCTCCGGTTCGGTCATTTTTTTTTTGTGCTTTCCTAACCCCTCCCCCTCACCCCCCAAACCCCTCCTAACCATCAAGCCCAACCCGGCTAACCCCAAAAAATGAAAAAAAAATAAAAAAAAAATCAATTCGGCCCGGGCCCGACCCGGCCGGGCCGGTTCGCCAAATACAAGGCCCGAGCCCGGACCCCCCCCCCCCCACCGGGCCTAGGCCCGACCCGGACCTGGACCCGAGAACCGGGCCGGTTCCGGGCCCGCACAGTGGCGGGCCGGGCCGGTCCCAGGCCGGGCGGCCCGAACCGGGTCCATGACTAGTCACGGCGTTCAAAATTCAAATATCAAAAGTGGGAAACATTTTCCCATCATTTTTGCGGTCACCATCTTGAAAACCGGGGTCCTGGTATGCACAGTGACGGACCCAGAGATTTGTCAGAGCAGGGGCACACTAGACACTAAACTTACTCTATAATAAAAATTTCAAATGTAATAAAGATGGTAAAAAGTAAGACAATAACATAAATTATACGGAGTAGTTAATTACATATGGAGTACTAAATAGTTCATTACTGCAACTTTGGTAAATCAAACCTACAAGTTTTCATATTCTGAAAATGTTTTATATTAGTTTCATTATCAATACTCCTAAAAACATCTCTCTCGATGTAGCACACCAAACAATCTGTAAGACAATCATCTTTCATCTTATTACGAAGATCTGTCCTGATATTATTCATCGCAGAGAAGGCTCTTTCAACTGTGGCTGTTACAACTGGTAATACTAAAGCCAACTCAATCAGCCGATATACCAAATGAAAAGAATTGTGAACTTTAAACTCAACCATCTTTTTGCAAACTTCACCAATAGTCTGTACGACAGAAAATAATTCATTTGTTCTTATTTCATATATCCACACACCTGGAGTTGCTCTTTCAGCTCCATTCGATCAACAGATGAAAAATCACATGAATATAATTCTGCGAGGTTCAGTAGCTTTGATTCACAGAAATTGGAGAACTTATCTCTAGGATCAAGACATGCTAAACAAGTGAGTAATTCTGTGTTTGACTCACTAAAACGGCTCTCCAGACTTCTTGAAATGCTTTGCTTTTGATTCTTGAAATTAAAAAACGTATTCTGGCATCATTGTGTGCACCATTTACAACTTTTACATGGTCTCTAAATGTTTCAAGACTTTTTTTCCAATTACGAAACCCGGTCCTCACAAATACATCATCTCCAAATCTCTTCCCTTCTACACCCATGGAAAAGGTAACACGAAAAGCAAAATGTAGCATCTTTAGAAATACTATATTCCAACTAGGGGTCTAAACCAATCGAGCCGAGCCGAGCACGAACTTACATATGCTAAAACGAGCTCAAAAATCCAAACTCGAGTTTGGCTCAAGTTCATTTACTTAAGCTCGAATTCAGATCGAGTTCAGCTCGTTAAGTTGAAAAAATCAGCTCAATTGAATAAAGGGATTAAACTAAACGACATTTTAAAATAAACACCCCAAAATAGAGGCCACTCGAAAAAGCCAATGAAGGCTATTTGCACAGCCATTTCGTGGCTATAGCACAAATAGAAGGATTACTTGCAACCTATCTTAAGAGTGGGAGATGTCCGGATTTATTGAGGCATTCCAAGGCTCATTTCTTCTCTTCCACCGGTGTGGGATAAATGGATACAAGCATAACTGAAGGAGCAGATCTCAAATGTACGAAGTAAAATTTCTACCAAAGGGATTCGAATCCGGGTGGGCTGCTACCTTTAATCCTATTGTGTGCTTATTGTTATTATTATTACTAATATTACTAATACAGCCACGAACCGGCTCATGAGCCACGAGCTTAAAATTGAGCTTGTTAAGTACTCGAGCCGAGCCGAACTCGAGCTGAGCTTAAGTTTGACCGAACTCGAGTCGAGCGTTGACCGAGCGGTTCATGAGCGGCTTGCGAACAGCTTGGCTCATTTACACCCCTAATTCCAACCATTCTCAATTTTTAAACCACTCTGCTCCAAAACATCTCATTTTTCCCAAATAAAGTTCGTGGAAAATCATAAGACAACGGTTGACAAGCACCTTTACCGACATAAGCTCTCATCACGTCATCTCTTACTCGAGGCTCATATTCAATGATTGGCTTTCGTAATGCGGGATCGCTAATGTTATCCCACTCACACATACTATCTGTGTGGGCTCTTTTGTCTCCCCTGGTGTCATTAGACTCATCTCGAACAATGCTTACATTCGGAGCAACAACATTTACATTGCTTGAGATAGACCGATTACAACGTTCGAAGAACTACCCCCTCGGGTTAATGACCTCTTAGTCCGAATTACAAAGTTATCCAAACTCACGTTTCTAATAAAAAAGACGAATACAATCAAGTCTAAAAATTAAACTAAAAACCTTACAAATTAGAACCCTAATCCTTAAGTAGAGCGCATTCACAATCTCCAAAGTATCAAATTTCAAGTAAACAAACAATCCCCAAATAAGCAAATAACAATTTAGTATATAATCGTAACATTTTAATATCTTGATTATCTAATACTAGTAACTTTTTGTACAGGTTGCGGCACTAATTTTACCCGAAGTAGTAGTATTGAAATTTTTGGCCGGAAGCAGAGGCACCTATTTTACCCTAAATACTAGTAGTGAAATTCCTGGCTGGAAGCCGGGGCACTTGCCCCGGCAGGCCCCGCCCTAGGTCCTCCACTGGGTATGCACCTTTTGTGTTGGAAAAAAGCACCTCTATTTTCATTTCACGGTAGGGGACATTTCAAGTGGCGGATCGTAGTAGAGATCCAGGGGCTAGCCCCTCCCAACAATTGTTTTTTTGGGGTATGTATATACAAAAAATAATTTTCACCCCTCAAGATGGATTTCCTGGGTCTGCTCCTGGACGTTTCCATCTATACTAATGTACTATGAATGAATCCATTAGAATGTCGTCATTTTAGGAGACTTTTTATCCTTTTGCTATAATCATTACATAGAGTCTTTACATAGAGGTTGTATTGAATATGGATTGTGGTGAACTTTTTTTTAATCCATGGATTTATAAATTCATATACTTTTTTACGAATGAATTCTATTGTGTTTTAAATTTATGGATAAGTTTATAGACTTTCAAAAAGTCTAGACTTTTAAATCTGGACTGTCACTGCCGGTTGTCGGGATTTTGACCTAGATCGTGGCTACCAATTTGTCTGTCCGCCTCCGTCACCAGAGTTCGCCGTCTTCGTCATCGGACTGATCCGCCACCAACAAAATGACTTTGGTTATGCAAGGGATCTAGAAGCAATTAATTTAATAAAATAATAAAATTATGAGTAGAAATTGTAATATTTACTTCTATTTAAGAAAAATCAAACATATGATCATTTTTTTTGCTTCAAACATATGATCATACTTTGAAGAAAATGCTATGTTTTAGCGTAAGTAATTTCCTCTGTGTAATATGATAAGAAACAATTAAATAATTAAATTGAAGTATAAGAATCCAAATTTATTTTTATTAAAAAAACTCAAAGTTTTGAGAATGCTCAACAATCTTGGTCTATTTATGACCAATTGTTATATTACACAACTCAATGAGTGAGGACATTAATCGTTACACAAACGTTACATACATTGCTACATGTGGTACAAGTATAGGTGCAATCGGGATTTTCTTCTTAATAATTGTTTTGTTTTCATTTTGCACTTGTTCAATTTTGTATACTTATTTATGGTTAAATACTTATAAATTTGAAATTATATTTTTATGTATTAGCGGTTTAACGATGAAACACAATAATAGTTAAAAAAATTTCATAATGGTTAACTGACAAGGTGCCAGAATTGCACCTATGTAATACTATCGATTCTTATATCGGTTCTTCTAAAAACTTCTTGAACCGAATCAATATGGGATTAACGATTCTTCAAAGGCTTCCTAATTTT